GCCCGCACACATTAATCGTCATCAGAATCGCGCTTCATTAGTTGCAAGCGATCCTTTTCCGGACTGGGGACAGCGCAGCAGCTGATCATTTTGAAAACTCGCCCGGAGAAATTTCCGCCACGTTTCAATAAAGAACCAACGAGTGACGTAAGATTTTGTTGCAACAAGAGGAAGGGACGATCCACAGCCAGAGAAAGGTGAACCTTCCTTTTCGGCAACGACTTGAAGTGGCTATTACTGTCGTATGTGAAAAAAGCGTCAGCACGACCAAGGGAAAAATTCTCCAACGGAAGGGAAAGCAGCGGCTTTGGTGGATATACGCACTGCAAGAGCTCAAAAGGAGGTAATGAACTTCTCATCCTAATTTGAAATTACACAAAGAAAATATCACTAGTAATTCTGGTTAGGTAGTTGTATAGTCAATGCATGAACATCCTCTTTGTAATGTCGTTTAGTTGGGTTATCATAAAAATGTATGATAATTTAAGATCTGTTTATGAGTGTGATTGTAATTCAGCAATGAATGTTTCATGACATTCAGTGCAGAAAGTAATGTTGGAAATTTCTGTTACAGAAAAGAAAACGTTTGAAAATAAAATTACTACCTCATGAGTCTTCTACTTGTGAATCAGAATAAATTCGTTCTCTCGCAGAAAATACGGAAGCTGCTGATCTTACTGCCATTGCAGAGATCTACAAGTTTTTGTAATCTATTTATTTGTATTTGTGTTGTAAATGTTTTAATACGAATAAATAGTGAAATTTAAAAGTTGTGTTATTCATAGGGGCTGGATGTCTATGGCACATCATATTTTTGTAAGCAATTCCATATTTAGGAATTTTTTTAAAATTTGGTGGCTAATTTTGAAAAAATAGCATTATAAGGACCTCTTATGGTAATGTTCAGTAGTGTATGAAGTGTTCGACGCAGGCATAGCAGGTCAATTCCTTAAAACCGGGCTATTTATTTATATGGAAGCAGAACCGTTTAACAATAGCTCGCCCCTCCATTTTAGTCACTCAGTAGCTTTCAATATGCCTAAAACGAAAGGATCAACTAGTGATAAGTTAGTGGTGAAGAAGTATTCAGTACCGAAGGAGTGATATTGTTCTGTAAATAGTGTGAAGTAAAGTTACTACCAAAAATCCCTTCACCATTCTTCAACATTGTAATACTGCTAAATACAAGACTTGCGTAATTAGACATTCAGCACCCGAAAATAGGCAACGTCTGCTATTCTAAACCCCTACATCAAGTTCACAAGTTTTGAAAGATCTCTGCACGATGATGGTTTCGTCTAATATTCCTTTGAATAAACTTAACAAGTTTTAGACAGTTTCTTGACAAATATACTCTGCATTCTGTTCCCCACGAACCTAACCTCTAATAGAATCTACCTGACCCCTTTTGACGAAGAGATGTTGGATAAAATACGGCGTAGCGCGGGGGCAGTAAGATATGAGTTTAATAGACGCGTGGGTGGAAGATCAGTTGCAAATGTGATTGTTGGCACATTGGAAGAAGGCTGGTCTGGAAATACGTTCCTCATGCCGTGAAGTTCTCTTGACAATTCACTGAATCTGGTGGCCGAACGGGGCAGAGATAAAGAGCACATTTTTTTCTATTTGTAAGTGAAGCTGCTGCGCGTATGATGAAGGTAGCCAAAGGGCCTAAAATGCTTTACCCAAAAATTGTGCTTGTGATATGTCTTCCTCATCCCTTACTTAAGGTGGATGAAGTTAGACGTAGCTACCCTGAAGTAGATAATTTAATATCCAACTGTGAGAAAGTTTTTGTCACAGCTCCACTTCATATTCAGAAATTCCAAGAAGAAGCACTTTCATTACCTCTACCTCCCCAGCTCCTTATAACGCGCTCGGGGACATGGCTTGATACCACGGTGTACTATTGCAACAAATACAGGTCGTAGAGAGGATTCTGAAGGATTTTGATGCTTCAAAATCGCCTTCTTTAGAAATTCAATACTTATTTTCTAGCGCCACAGTGAAAACTAATGTCACTGCCGTGTCTCTGACCGGGAGGTCCTGGGTTCGATTCTCACAGTGGCAGGATTTTCGACACTAGCTAAGCCGAATTCAGCTGCTGTCTGGAGAGGAATTCTAGCGGACGGTAGTTTTCTGTTGCTTATTTTAACAACAGGCGAATGCCGGAGCAGTACCCTAACAAATTGGACCGCGCACGATCTTTTCTTCCCTTTCCTTGTTCTATCCTCACTCCTTGCTTACATGCACTTCTTTACAACAGATCGAGAGACCAGTTGGAAGCTTAGATCTTGACCGGGTTGAGGCGGTGCATGCTGGTGGGAGATACCTGGTTAGGGAAAACCCTGCAAGTCGACGGGTAAGTCGGTGCCGGATCTCGCCCTCCAGCGCGGGAAGATCACCGCCACCTCTCGCGTTAAAAACCTGCACTAAACTTACAGTAATAATGACCTTACCAGTTTATGCACCCGCCAATCAATCCAATAAAGAGGGCTAGAGATTGTATCAGTTTCTTAGAAAAGCTAGAGATAACTGTGAACATCAATTAATCGACAAAAAAACTTATTGTCAGGTATTGATAACTGCACTAGTGAGGCTAAAACAGCACCTATTGTCTCACATATCTGACTTTTGAATTTTTCGAACATTCAGAGAGTTCAACGAAAATGAGACTTGTGCCATTTTTATGTGTCCGTTGCTTTATCCGTGGGGAAAATAAAGAATAAAATGTTTCCACCCTTTGCTTCTTACAAAGGAAAAGCGTCTGTCTTTGGATAACTGATAGTATGGAAACACTGAGCTTTCATTTATAGTTAAATAATCAAATGTAATTATAAAACATTGCAATTTATAATAAAATATCAAAATCAATTGAAGTCGAAAAACGTAAATGTTTATCTTTTGATTTATCCTCCCCCTCACCCACCCCTTCCCACCTGCTTTGCTACCTCGCCTCCTTCATCCGAGATGACTCGCGTCATTCAAACGGCATCGAAACGATCCCGATGCATCCAAACGGCAACTGCTGCCGTTTGGCTGCATCGCTTCCAGTAACACTCATTTTGTAATAGTAACCCACTTTGGAGTAAACATTTTGAGATCTCTGTTTTTTTCTCGGCAGCTCAAAAGTGTTGCTGTAAGATATGAGGACAGTTGTTCTGATGTTTCGAACATACATGGTATATTAATGGTGAAATTTAGATTGATTTGTCCAACATTTCAGAACTAGTTCACTACACTCGGTTAAGAACACCTGTAATCGGAATGGCGTGGAACTTTATAAACTCAAACTCGTAAGGCGAATTGCCTTGCTTCTCGTGTCCAATTTCATGACTACGCTCCGGCCTTCGACCTACGCGATTAATATAAAATATCCATGAGCCTGTGCAACGCTCAATTGTCACTGAACATTGTTAGTTAAGTCTTCGTTGACACTATCCGAAACATATCTTTTCATTTCCCAGAATCTATATTTCTATCAGTATATATTATTAATTTCCAATGCGCACAGAAATTGAAAGAAATCTAACCAACTTCTGGAAATATGAGAGGTGTCTATGGTTTTGTTAAATACCCAGGAACTCTGAAGACATACATAAACATCTATATAACTACTAATTCCGAATACATTGATAAATTGACAAAACTGCTACGGTAATGTGAGAAGTACTCGTATCTACACATCTCTCGTAGCGGTTGAATTCTCATACTCACTGCGTCACTGCTTGCTATAAGTTAATGGTTTGTGACAGGAAGGCTCCAAGGAAGATACCATCAACCATTAAATATTTGCTATTCACATGGTGCATTATGGAAGTATTCGTGAATATTATTCTTGTTAAAATATTTAATTTATTAGGTACCGCCCATAAATAACATAAAGCAAACACGGGATAATTTGAATACCCCATCTTCCCCTGTAACATACCCGTAACGCACGCTTGACCCCCCCTCTAAATAATTACGTAACGCTTGCAACAACACCCCTTTGTAAATTCAAGAAGTAAAAATGAATTATACCGCAGTAAAATCAAATTATATTAGGTTTATTTGTGTTATGCATTAAACTAAGTCAGAATTAGTTGGCGAAGCTGTCTACACCTTACAACAAGATTGCGGGCAAGTTTTGGATGAAGAGAAAACGCGTAGGCGAGAAAATTTCCTATCACAAGCCGTGTACATGCCGTCGTGGATGGCGCATGGGCGAGAGTCTATTCGGCTGATTTAATTGGATTCGAAAATATACTGCAGATCAGTTTTGAATATTTCTTCCTAATCTTACGGATTCCGTACAAAATTATATAATATTTGTATTTATTGCAACAACTAATAACTCTATTTATGCATTAAACCTAATTAATTAGTTAATGTTTTAATGTAAGCCTCAAAAATGGAAGTATTTAAACAAATGTTGAAAATTTAAAAAAAATCAGTGTTATGTAACATAAAACGACCTTACCCCTATGCAACGCAGCGAAATGCTGCCTCAAACTCGTCCCTTCTCTTTAGCGTTTGGCAATTTATGGACGACCCTTGGAGTGTTCGTTCGTAGGCTTCCGCGGCCGGAGTCAATACCACAGAGAGATGGCCGAAACGTCAGCACAATTGACCGAGACCCAGCTCATCCCGGATAGCCAAGAATGTACTGACCCCTTATAGGTGATACGATTTACGAATTTTATTTGTAGTTTTTAAGCAGCGTGCATTCTTCTTTTTCGAAACCCATTTTGTGGGGTTTTGTTAAACAGTATTTTTGCTGCTGCAGGCAATTCGTATTTACTAAGCTCGCCCTCATCATAGCCATTATGCGCAGAGTACCTCAACCACCGTAGTCTACGGTTGGCAGAACGACTTATGAAAATTTACAATTCTTAGGTTGGCAACACATTTCATCAAATGAAGTACGAATAAGGTGTATAGCATGGAGCTCTGAATATTCATAGCTCCATGGTGTGTAGTCCCAGTAAAACAACAACAGCCGACTAGGGGCTGAAAAGATGGTCCCCGGGGAATTGGCCAAGCTGTACTACACGCCGCTGGGTGCGCCGTGTCGCGCCGTGTTGCTGGCTGCACGAGCGCTGAAGATTAACCTCAACCTCTCTCCCTTGGACATGCACCATAAGAAGGAGCACTTGGAAGAGTGGTACGCCAAGATCAATCCCCAGCGCATCACGCCGACGCTCGTGGACTCCAAATACGTCCTCTGGGAGAGCCGAGCCATCAACAAGTACCTGGCTTTGAAGGTGCGTGAACGAGGATCGTCTCAAAGAAGTTAAATGCTGCAAATCCAATAGAATGCACTCTTAGGCATTCTTCAGTGTAGAAATAGCGGATCCGAAGTTTTAACCTAGTTTCAGAAAATCATTGCATTTTTTGTCCTAAACATGAAAGAGAATACATTCAGACCGCATTGTTTTACACCACATTCTTCACCATCCGGAAACAAAGAATGCGACATCGTGATGTTAGTGATTTGAAAACATAGGTATTTCCTGCTAGGTACTATTTCCACCTACTAATATTCGCACAGCGCAGCTTCCAAAATATGGCATTTATGGACAAAACTACTAGGACACTTCTTTCGAGTTAATTGGACGAATCATTAGAGTTAACATATCTTTTAAGTAATTGTTTGTTCAGTTCTACCTCTCCCCAAAATACCTCTCTCGATAGGTCACTAAATAATTCATCACACATTTGTTTGGCCATGGCCTGGTCACGGTAATGTTGAAGACAACTCCGGATCCCAAAATGGTGTTACATTTCACAAGTTACAAGTTACACTTTTGGCATTTCATTCAGTCCTGTGAAGAAAGTAAGTATTCTGTCTCGTTTGCCCCTTCCAGGAGTACTTTTTTTATTTCCAGCAGATCATGTTGTACTTTTGATAAACTTTAGGTGTTACAATTTGGTATTGTAAAGGAAATAATCTCCACCAAATAATTAATAATAAGTATTAATAATTTTATTAACAATTTTCCATAGTTAACATTCGGGAAACACTTTTCCCATCCTCAGTGGATCTCTAGCAAAATGGAGAAATGAAACAAACATAAGTTGAACGCAAAACGGGGGGGGTGTACAGTGAATTTAGTGGAAAAACAAATAATATCATATAAATACAAAAAGAAAATAACTTACTGCTCGAGCAATGTGGATCTCCCATGAATGTTCACAAATGGTCAAAGGCAAAACATGGAGATTACAGGTAGGTGGCAGCCATCTTTTCGAATGGGAGAAGAGGAAGCCTAACAATGAATTTGTTACAATTTGGAACTGGATCCTAAAAAATTTCTCTTTGGTTTCTGTTTCATACACATCGGATATGCAGCAGCGAGACACAGAGCACCGCGACATTTCCCACCAGCTGTGGCCGAGCGATCTTCGGCAGCAGTCGCGAGTAGACAGGCTGCTTTACTTCGACATGGGCACGCTTTACCAGTCAATGACCGAGTATTTCAAACCAATGTTAACCTCTGCGAAAAATCCTGAAAAAGACAAGATCCTTGCTTTGGAGAACAGCTTGCGATTGCTCAACCTGTTCCTTCAGGATTCGAAATATGCTGCTGGAGATCATCTCACTCTGGCAGATATATCGCTCGTAACTTCCATTAGTCAGTTGGAGCCCTATGGTTATAAAATGGATGCTTCCAAGTATAATGAGGTACGACCACTGCAACAACGTAGTTACACGAATACGTTTTTGTAAAATAGGCATCAGTCCATTCCAACTTTTGAAAAAAACCCGCCAAGAATACATTATTTGCAATCATTTGTAGCATAAATTTAATTAATAAATAAAAGCACCCTTTTTTAGCAAATTAAATACCTTTTTATGAATTAACGAGCTGTTAAATTTTCAAATGTCATGGACTGATGCTTTCTTTCATGGACAGAAGTAAAATGATGAATGACATTTTTTATCGCTAACATTTCAAAGATACAAATTAGTTATTTAAATTAAATATGTAAACTAAACCAACCAGTAGTACCACAATATTCCCATATATCTACATGCATGATGTTATAATATTGCGATTTGTATTTTACTAATTTTTAGCCGTCTCTTAAAAAATCACATAATAAACACGGGAGTTTCAAATTAGCAATTTTCGAAATCTAAGAGGCATTATTGACAACTGGACCAATGTCATTTTTGAAAGCGCACTTTCAACTATTCGAGTAAAAACAATAAAGAAAAACTTGGAGCCATTTTGAGAACATTTTGAAAGTGTTCTAGAGATTAAATAAGTCGTATTATAAAGTAGTGCGTATAAAAATTAATAATATTCGTTTTACATATGCAGTGCCTCAGTTGAGCCAGATAAATCAGAAAAAAAAAATCATTTTGCAAACAATCCTGGGCGCGATTTAAATCGTGGTGGTGATCACAGGCGGGGAGGTAGATATTTTTGATTGATTTTTCGAACATGACAAGTGCTACAGTCATTAGTCCCTTTGATATCTTGAATGTTTAAGGCTTGGAGGTGTCGGTGTTCCTCCTCGCCGGGAAATTGCCCCTTGCCGGGACTTCCCTCTTCATGTATCTCCCCAAGCGGGTCACCGCACCAGCTGGGACAACTTATTAGCTCCCGAATGGTCTCCCGGCATGAGTAGTGTGTGTAAGGGGAGAGGACAGGACAAGGAAGAGGACGGAAAGCTCGCGCGCGGTCTGTGACCCGTTTGTCAGGGTACTGCTCCGGCATTCGCCTGGTATTGATCGGAGAAACTGCGTAATACTATCGATCAGAGCTGTTGGTCACAATAATTCTTTTCCAGACAGAGGCCGAATTCGACCCGCCTACTGTCGAAATTGCGCCACAGCCCCGTCCTGACTCGAACCAACGGCCTCTCGCTGAGTCGCTGGAGAGACAGCGACAATAGGCTAAACTCAGCCGGTGCGTTTTTGAAGTAACTTTTTCGGAATAAGGGACACCTTTCAATAGGTGTTTTCGTCAAAATTTTGAAATATCGAAGGTTTGCAATTACGTACAAGAAAATAAACTAAAAAATAACTTCAACTCTAAATTTTCTCTCGTTGAAATGGAAAGTATATTGCGTCTAAAAATCTCAGATGTTGATAAACGAAAAAGATTTCACAGTGTTTATTTCTTTGTTTTTATTATTAATCCTTGTTATTTAACATCAAAACAATAACTGTTGATATGGGAGAGAAATACATATTTTAATGTTCACTACTGAGTAATAATAAACTTATTTTCATTGCCAAAGAAACTACAGATTTTATTTTATAGTATTGCTAAGACAATTACAACCCACACTCCCCGGCCCAACTTTCACAACTAACAACTAGAGGTGCTAAAAGAGCACGTACTTTCTCGCCTTATTAATAGTTATGTAAACTATTTGTCTCAGAATTAACATATCTTTGACGTCATTTTTTGTAATACAAATCGTAGAACAACAAAAAATAATTTGACAATTATAACTACTTTTCATACAGGTTAATCATTTTCCAACAATAAAACGTAATTCACAGACAGTAGTTCACGAGTCATTGTTGCATTCCAATGTGATATTCCCTGAAAGCTAGCAATTGTTATTTCATATATTTCAAATGGGTTTTTAATCATTTCTAAAATATAAATTTGTAAATGAGTCACAAAATTGAGTCAAGTAAATTCAGAGCGGGTGACTATGTTTATCGCCGCATTACACAAAAATACTCATATTTTCAAAACATTCAACATAACCACATTTAAAGATCTGTTTTTGATGAACACATTTCATTAAAAACATGTATCATCACAATTGTGGTTGTAGGAAGACGCCGAATTTTTTTAAATTTAATTTTGTTTAAAAAGAATTTCCCCTCTTAACCAGGTAGTGCGAGGCTTACCTTTACGTAGCTTGGTTTGAATGATTCTCTGTTAAATATTGCCAGGTATGTGTTTAACTAGAAATATATACTCCGCAATTAAGTTGTTTGAACGTAGTTCAATTGTGCAGCGCTTGTTGATTCTCAGGTGGAGAGCTGGCGAGAGAGAGTCGTCAGTGCAATGCCGTTCTACGAAGAGGTGTCTCGCGACGCGCTCAGGGCGTCTGCGGCGTGGGCTGCTTACAAACTTAAGCTGATTGACAAAAAGAAAAACCCAACTGATTCTTGATCATCTCCAAAGCTCCTCTGAAGAATCGAAGATTTCAGAACTTGAGCATCAACTTGAAAAGTGTTGGAACGCCATTGAACAAATTGTCACATCTCGAATAAAAACATGGAATACATTTTGTTCATAATGTTAACAATTATCCGGTTGCGTATGTGCAAGGAAGACAGATATACATGCATCGTGAATTAATATCTTGTCCAATAACTAATAGAATATTATTGGGGAAATTACAATTAGAAGCCAGGAATATTGTTTGGACTCTTGTGCTATTTGTGGGAAAGACATTTTCAGGCCGTTTTTAGAAAGAAAAAAATCCACTTATTCGCTGCCGAGAATATGATATTAGTTTTGACACACGATTTGTCTGAGTAATCCTAAATTTTGAAGACTTCCAAAGTATCTGTGTTATATTTAACTGCCGTTGTTTGGTAAACCGCACGTCACAAGACAGATTAGCACCCAAGGTTAGACGTATCCATGATAAGAGGAGTCGTATCTGAGCATTAAGGATCAAAATAGAAATTAATGCCAAGTTGTAATCACAACTACTACGTCAAATACAACCCGTGCGCAACGACCACAAACGTCTTGCGTGACTTTACTCTCGTCTAATTGCAAAAAGATATAATTAAATGCATGAATTTTATTTTAAACTAGTGGTGCTACAACAGCATGAACTTTTTACTAATGCTATTTAAACCTATAAATGTGTTTCCAACACTCAAAAACAATTGACCACATTGAGAATCAAAGTCAGGCAAACTAGGTTTAGCAAGCAGTTAGCATAACCACTACAACAGTGACGGAGAAATAGCTTCACTGTCGCTGTAAATAGAAAGTTGAAAATTTGCAATTTTTGAAAATTGAGACGTTTTAATAAAAGTCGTACCAGAGAGCGAGTTAAAAAAAATAAAAAAAATATTTTTAGATTTGGGAAAATTTTGTTGACGTAATTTTTGATAGTTGTCTCTATTTCACTCCAAATTACGCGAAAACTACTCATATTGTCAAGAAATTGTGCATGACAATATCTAAAGATCTCCAATTTTAACGATCAGATTTTATTAATATAAATATCTTTATTTAGATCTTTGCAGTTGTAGGAAGACGCCGAATTTTTTTAACTTTAACGATTTTCGAAAATTTAAAGAATTCATCAAAAATAGGACCACCGACATTGTTATATATGTTCTGTGCTCTAAAGTATTAAACATTCTAAACTTTGAGCACTCATTGAGCCTTCGTGTAAAGTACTCCCAAAAACCGAAATTAACGTTTCAAATTCAAGGGGCCATGACATCAGTTAAGTCCTTCGAGGAATATTAATTTTGGTAAAAATCCTGCCTATGGTTTAGCCGCCAAGATTGTTCACAGACTGACGGACGGTCGGGTACACTTTGCCGCAAAACAATTTGTCGCTAACAAGGGCCCACAAACATGTTAGAGGAAGTTATTTTCCACGTATCTGAACAAGAACAATCTATTTTTTCGATATCTGGGACCTAAACCTTTACCGCAAAATCGCTGTTTTTCGCTGCAATTCATAACTTTTTCTATACTATGTAAGTAGTATGCAAGAAAGTAAAAGTATTTAGGGAATTTCTACAATATTAATCTAGAAGTCACATCGTTGTTGTTCAAGGAAAATGGCATTTTGCAGGAGAACGGTTTTCACCTGACCCGAGCCGTGTATTTTATGGCCAAAAAATGGTGCTTTACTATTTATCGCTTCGTTGTGAGCTACGTGACATTTTTACGCCAATTTTCTCCCAAAATACTTCTTTTGAACACACAACACGCCTTTTACTTGTTACTTTAGCTAATGCCTTGTGACTAAAATATATATTAGCCAGTTGAAATGCGGAATAATTCGTTTATCATCATTCATACGGCTGTAATGCAGGCGCTGATACACGGGGAGGCAAATTCCTCCCCCCACTCTAAAAATGTTCATTAACTATTAATTTTATCTCTTCGCGAAACTTTCAAGCAAAAACATTTTCGGATAGTTATTAAAACCGTATCGCTGATTGTAGGCTGCATTTTACAAAATCTGTATTATGACACATTCGACTAAAACATGAATTTCCCCTCCCCAAATTTCTCTCTCTAACTTTAACCGTATGTCGAACTTTTACAGTAACATTCTATACAATATGTAATAAATATCCTAAAATGATTTCTTCGCTTTAGAGAGATGGCCTTTTTGATTACGAGAAACAGTTTGCACTGTACTGAATTGACAAATAAGATGTTATCGTTTACGTATCACTATCTTTTTGTATTCATTTAATGCAGTTGGATAAAGAAGAAAAACAATATTTAGGCTGCGATTACATGACAACATAGGAACAACAATTAGAAAATACTTATAACGTATCTTTAATATTTCATTTGTCAACATTATTTCCTGGGATTAAAAGGCCCATCTCTAGTTCTTTTTAAGACGCGTTCACTGTCCTCACCGCCCTTCAAACAACTTATAGCGCGCTGCGGATATTCGCACGTATTGTGCGCGCGTTCCCATCCCACGTGCTAAGGGCAGAGAAAGACCGCGCGAGAGCGCTTTAAACATGTGCGGTGGGCGGGCCGGGAGGTTGCAGGTGTCAGTCAGCTGCGGGATCAGCTGGCGTGGGCGATCTTGCCTCATGCGGAACATACCCGCCCGGCATCCGCCCGCTCCGGGTATAGTCTGACGAGATGGCCTGAGATGTTGGAATGGGTTACTGCGAAATCGTAAAGTTCCGAGGCGCTGCTGGGTTACGTTGTTTGATCGAAGATCGCTGAGTGGAAAATAAAAAAAAATAGTGGTTCTTGATTACGATATGCGGAAGCAGAGCTCCCAAAGCGCAGCATTCTACATTTCTGAATGAAAATGGGTACTCCAACGAAAGATGCAACGTTTCTGGGCTTGGATTTGAGTACTCAGCAGGTAGGTTCAGAATAACTCCTGTCATTGAATAATTACAGTTAAAACTCCCAGATACAAGAACTTTTAGAAAGCAATCAGGCATAATGAACTTGAAAGTGTTTGGGTACTTTTAATGTTGAAAACTGTTAATCTTTTTTGTGTGTGTGTGTGTGTGTTTAGTGGAAAGCAGTTGTTGTTGATGAGGACTTGCATTTAGTACATGAAACCCAAGTGCAATTTGATAAAGATCTTCCAGAATACAGGTGAGTGTCTAACACTTGGGGGGGAAAAATTGTTTTAACAATGGAAACATTTTAAGTTAATACTAATGAGAAATGTGTTTATTTAGAACACATGGGGGAGTTATTCGAGATTCAACAGACAATCGTGTGGTTACTGTGCCTCCTTTAATGTGGGTTAAAGCTTTGGAAATGTTGCTTGACAAATTACGCATAGGTGGAGTGGATTTGAGTAAAGTATCAGCAATTTCTGGTTCAGCACAAGTGAGTAATCATTTGTAAGATTTCTGTGCAAATATTTGTCTTCTATGTACTTTTTAAAGAATTATTTTCTTGCTTATAGTTATTGCTGCTTATTATAATGCCTATAATTTTGTGATAAATAAATATGGCAATTATATTAGATTTGTTAATTCCTATGCAATTACTATCTAATTATCATCTTTCCTGTAATTTTTCAAAATCCTTTTTCTTGAAACTTAACTTGTAATTATTAACCTACCAGTACGTATCACTTGTAAGCCATAATCTATTATTTGCATAAATAATTTGTATAGAAAATTAATTCATAATTCCCTCACAGTGTTAAGAATTTGTTGGCTTTAATAATTTTATCTTTTGAAAACCTGTACATTTTTGTTCCAATTTCCATTAGTTGAATATATAAAACAAAAATTGCATTAATTTTTCTTTTATGAAGAAAATGATAAGCAGTGATCTTTCAGTTCTTTTGTTACTCATAGTACTTTAAAGGTTAGCTAAATTAATTAGAAATATTGTTCTACATTAAATAATTGATTACGGTTCCAGCAACACGGTTCAGTGTTTTGGGCCATGGGAGCTGAATTGCGTCTGAAGTCATTGGATCCAAATCGGTTTTTGCATGAGCAGTTGGCTGGTTGTTTCTCAGTTTTGCAGTCTCCAGTGTGGATGGATGCAAGTACAACAACACAATGTCGTCAATTAGAAGAGGCAGTGGGAGGAGCTCAGGTAAGGTAAATTATTATGTTTATCAAATGATTGCAATTCAAAATTCCAACCTTTGTAATTTTTTATGCTTTTTGTATTAGTACAAGAGCATTATTTGTATAACAAATTCCCTTGTTTGATATTACTTCTTTTTACTTGTCTTACTACTCTTGATCATTAGTCAGTCTTAAGTTGCAATGTTTTACATAGTGGAATATATGTAAATGTAACTATAAAACTTTCATTGGTATTTATTAATGAAAACCAATCTGTTATAGGTATTGGCCAGCATTACCGGGTCTCATGCCTATGAAAGGTTTACAGGTCCACAGATAGCAAAAGTATTTCAGACCAAACCTACAGCATACCGCAATACAGAGGTAAGTAGGCTTGTTTTGTTTATAAGGATGTGATTGTTTTTAGTGAATAGTAATTTTTTCCAGGCATTAGAATAGCTCTTCTCACAAAGGTAATTTGTATTTTGATCTTGTTTTAGAGAATTTCTTTAGTGAGTAGTTTTGCAGCCAGTCTCTTTCTAGGCCAGTACGCTTCCATTGATTATGCTGATGGTTCAGGAATGAACCTACTTGATATCCGGTCTAAAGAGTGGTCAGAAGTTTGTTTAAATGTGAGTAATTGAAATATTAATCATTTACATTGTATCACTTTTTAACAACGTCATTATTATCAACAACAGCAACGGCAATGTAGTCTTTGGTTTAAGAACAGTGTTCATATTCTTCCATCACTTTTATTTCTTCAACACAATATCTTGTATATGAGTTATATACTTAAATAAAAATGTCTTCTTTAAAATAATGAAAAACTTGCAGGCTTGTGCCCCAGACCTTGCTCAGAAACTGGGAGATCCAGTGCCTTCATATTCTGTCCAAGGCTCTATCAGCTCTTATTTTGTGGAACGTTTTGGGTTTTCAAGCACTTGTAAAGTGGTATCATTTACTGGTGATAATCCAGCTTCTCTTGTTGGTGAGTGTCGATTTTCTTGTTTCTTACTTTCCTGCAAGGGCATTTTCTGCCTTGCACAGTGGGAATAAATATTGGTTTGGGTCTGATTTTTAATAGATTCATGACTCAAGTAAGTTTTTCAATATTATGCAAGTTTTTTTTTTTTTTTTATAACTGATGAATCATTTGTTTCATACTCCTTAAGTGAGATGAAGTAAATAAAGTGAAGTAATGTGATAAATAAGTAATTAAGATATTCTAAAGATATTACACATCAGTTTTTACTAATTATTTTACAGGAATGCGACTGACTCAGGGGGATGTACTCTTGAGCCTGGGCACAAGTGACACGGTAATAGCTCCTTTGGTGGAGCCTTGCACTCTCAGTGAAGGACATGTACTGTGTAGTCCTCTTTCCACTGATAGTTATGTAGCTTTACTTTGGTTAGTATCTTCTATATTTAAGCTCTTTTGTATCTGTTAAATATTTTACATCACAATGTTGAAAAACATTACTACTTCCTATACACCTAGATTTAAATGTAAAATAATAAGGTCTCTATCTGAAAGCAAAAATATCTTTTTATCTAAAAAATGTTAATATTGGACATTACATACATTAAAAAAACTGAACATTTTAGAATTACCTAGAAATCTTCAATTAAAATGTCCTTTGTTCTTCAAAATTATTAGAAACTCTAACAATGATTGTATTCTGTTTTTGATAATAGTCAAAATTCTTATTTTTCTTGATTTTATTTGTGAAGTTATAGGAGTCCAAAAATTTTATTTCTTTGATATGAAAATATTAATATTTTATTTTATTTGTTTCACCTTGTGTTCATAGATGAAGGAATAACAGTTATATGGGATTATGTTTCCTGTTTTACAATTGTCAACTACTGTTGAAAATCCATAGCTATTAAGTGTGATGTAATTGTTATAAGTTTATGTTTTGACTGTTCAAAGAACTGACTGTCTCAGGTGGGAATCAAACCCCAGATCTTCCAGTATATGCCCAGTTGCTGTAACTACTTGAGCTGAGTAGTCAGTTCTTTGTGCAAGGCTGTTCAAAGAGTTGACTGCCTCGATAGTTCTCGTGCTTAGAGCAACTGGGCTTATACCGGGAGGTCTGGGTTCGATTTCTGTCTGGGGCAATCAATTCTTGGAACACTGAAAATGTAATTTTTAACAATATTTTTTTTGTCAAGATTTTAGATCATTTGTAATAATTTTGTGTAATATTTTATTCATATATTGCAAAAGTTAATTATATAAATTGGATCTGTACAGTTGTTTGAATGAAATTTTAGCCATTGGAAATAAAGAATATCTAAGTAAAGTGAATAAAGCATTCTCTCATTTTTCATTAAAGCAACCACTAATGAAAAATATTTATGTAAACATGTAATAGTTGGTGATAGAAATGCTTCATAGTGTGTGCTCCTGTATGTCAATATAAATTATCACTGTTGTGTATAAATTGTGCCATGGAAGTAGTACCTATGGTTCCCTTTTTTATATCTAATGTACATTGCTTGTGTTATTTCATTCTCATAAAAATCTTCATTTGGCCAAACAATTTTTACTGCAATATTTAATGATGTAACAATTGAGAAAACAATTTGTACAATTGATAAAATTCTGGAATGCTTTCACTTTGCTTTATTTTAGCTATTGTTGAACCTTTTTATTTTCTCATTGCACTGATTTGAACTGTTTCTGTTTTCAGGATAAATACAATTTTGTGAATGATATATTGGGTAATACATTAATGCTTTTTTGGTTTGAATTGTGAAATTTGCTTATTTTCTCCCTATATCTGTAGATTTTCATTTGATTGTTTCAGTTTTAAAAATGGATCTTTAACTAGAGAAAGGATTAGGCATGATTGTGCTGAAGATGAGTGGCAGATTTTCAGTGAACTGCTGGACAGTACTCCTAGGGGAAATTTTGGTAATATGGGTGAGTTTGCCTCTCATTAATAATTTAAGAAGTAAAACTGATGTAAGAAAGCAAGATTTATTAAAATCTACTCCGATTGTAGAAATATTATTTTTTACGGTTTCTGAACACTATGTAATTATCAACCTTCTCAATCACTGGGGTAGTTGCTCGAAAAAAACCAACTTTTTTGGCTTCCTCTCCCTCTTATGTGCATTTGACATGAGAATTTTATTTTTGGAGTGAAAAGATGTGCTTTGAAATCGTTTTTGTGATATGATCTCTGGTTCCATTGATTTTCGTGATATTTTGAGGCACTAAAAAATGACATATATTTTATTGGGTTTTTAAAGTTCTTCAATAATTTTTCTCTGTGTTCATTACAGGGTTGTATTACGATGTTCAGGAAATAATACCTTTTGTAAATGGTGATTATCGATTCAATAAAGCTGGCATTAGAGTGAACCGTTTCTCAGGAAAGGAAGTTGAAGTGCGAGCTTTGGTGGAAGGTCAATTTGTGGCAAAACGTGCTCATATAGAAGATGTTGGATTTGTTGTGGGTAAGTTAAAATTATTTATGTCTTTTGGATTTTAGTAATTAAGAAATGTTTAAACTTAACTATTTTAAAATTTCACAGGAAAATGTACTCGTATCTTAGCAACTGGAGGAGCATCCAATAACCGTTCAATCCTGCAAGTGCTCTCAGATGTTTTCAACACACCTGTCTTTGTGATGGTAAAATTTATTAAGTTCTGTAATTTCAGAATTGTTTTTTGTTGAGGTATTCAAATTGTGTACTATTCATCCCTTATGCAAATAGTTACAGTGTATATTTAAACTTTTTCTTCTTGGCTAATTTTGTATAAAACAAATAAACAAAAACATGACAACAATTACAACTTTGAAATAGTAAAATATGAATTCCTTACTAACCTTCTATAACGAATATTATTATTTGATTTTAAAGGTAAGCTTCAACTTGGTTAATTTGATGGGTTAATTATTATAGAAGTATAATTATTATTTGCAATTAATGGTCATGTTTTTGTGTCGATTTGTAAGTAAGTGTCATTCATTTAAGAAGTCATAAATTGGTATCGATGGTGTCTACCGTTATGGAATTTAATTAAACATTTTTTCACTGTCTGAGTGAAATTTTGAAATGTTAATATTCATTAAAGAAAGCTAGTAAGGAATTGATATTTTAATATTTAAAGATTCTAATTGATTGTCTTGTTTTAGTTTAATTATTTTGTACATAATTAATTTCACAGCCTGATGATGTCAATATACGAACATTATCAAAATATTGTTTTTTTAGAATAAAGTAATGTGAAAATTTCTTATTATGTATTTAAATTAAGCTAACTGAAGTAGAGATCATATATTTATTTATATAAAATGTGGATATTTGCTTGGTCGCCCTTTTTACGGTTAGCATAATTTATTATTTATTTTCAGTACTTACATGGGTATATTGAAGAGAATTGGTATATTGTATCTTGCTAATATTCAAGGTATTACGAAAAGATTAAGTAGAATGATTAAAACAATATGTATTCACAACTCGCTAACAGCGGTTTAGTTGAATCAAAATATATTGGACGGGTTTAATACATTATAAAAGGCTTAAAACTGTAATTTTAATGTAAATGAAAGTAAACTATGTAACAAAAAATATTGATACAAATTTTATTATTTTTTTTATTGAAAAAAGTGTGTAAGGAACGAGTGAGAAGCCCAATTTTGTTTATCGACTTGGCTGTCAGGGAGACGCCAAGTCCTTGGCTCAGACACCAACTTTTCGGGCATCAAACTGCGACCCTCCTCAGAGAAAAACGTAGGGAAGTGAACTGGGCACAGGTTTATATAGAGTAAGGTTCCTCTCTACCCTGCAGACAGGTGGCTGGATGATCTGCCTATGTAGAGAAAGCATTGCCCGATAAACTAATGGTCCCCATTGGCATGGTGGGAGAAGGGCTCTCACTGTGGTCGGATGTCAAGGAGCTATGGAAACCACACCCTTATGTGATTGGACGTCATGGTAAAATGTTTTCAGGCGTGGTGGAGACGTAGGCCTTGGTTTTCGGGATGTTTTATAATTACTACTGCCTCTTTCACCCTCCTCATTCCCCATCAGTCTTCTGGCCAGAAAGTGTGTCGTATCAAAAGAATGTTATAACCATTGATGGCCAGAATGTTGCACCTAGGCATCTCCCGTGCGGCCAAGTAAATATTGTCTCTGGTCATGGAAAACTTGTTTTTAATTATTGTGGTAAATTGACATTAAATGTGCTAATATGGTGCCCCAAAATAATTAATACTATAAACCTATTCCTTAGATTATTGTAAGTGAAAATATTTTTTCACTTACTACATAAACAATTACTTTTTACCTTTTTTACACTGTGGAATTACATTAATTTGTGTGTTCTTTTTTCACCACTTCACATTTTGTGAAAATATTTTTCCAGGATGGTGTTAATTCTGCAGTTCTAGGAGCTGCATACCTTGCTAAATTTGCCCTTCAACATTTATCTCAGAGCTTCGGAGAGATCACATCCCATTTGCCTTGCCCAGAATTAGCTTGTTCACCATATGGAGATGCTTTGTCAGTATGTATGAACTTAGTGTACATTTCAAGGCAGCATTAATTACCTTATCCTATAACGCGAAACCTTGACAACACTTGTTGTTTGTTTTTGTTTTTAACAAAGTGTCAACATCAACAGCTACAGATTAAAATAGAGCATATTTGATCATACGTAAGATAGCAATGCGCCTATTAAAAGTGTAATCACATGTCAACATTTTACATAGTGACAGAATATGTTTTAACAGCTAATCTTTTTTCTTTCATTCATCATCAAAATTCAGGAGTTAGTATTTTCAATGAAACATTTCAGAATTATTTTGACTGAAGTGCTTCCAAAGTTTCTTCATTCACTACAACCTTAATTATATATTTTCAGATGTTTAAAACACTTCTATTCTCTTTTTTTTAGGTGTATACCCCAATGGTGACCCGCTATAGAGCAATTTTAGAAGAAATTGTTAATTGATTGCAAGATCAGAAGATGAGAATATTGAAAAACAAATCTAGAAAGGTTGGAGGAAATGACAATGAATTTGCATATTTCCATTTTTTTTTATTATGTTACTAAATTTTAAAAATGCTGTGTAATATTTTTTATAGAATTTTTGTATTAATGGACATTTTCAAAGGAAATAACATCGAAAACTCATTCTATTTATTCCAAATTGTATCATCTAATGATACAAGGAATGTAATTATGAAAACAATTATTTTATACCTGAGAAATTAATTTTTTCAGTTTGTTTTTTGTTACTTTTATACACTTTCAAAAAAGGAATCCCTATACTCTGTTCATCTTTAGATAATTTATTTTTAAGAATCTTTTCAATATATTTAAAACATAATGCATTGGTCTTTTAATTAATTTTAATTTACTTTGTAAATTGAAACTAATATAACTAATATTTGCTTTGCTGTATTTTTATTCTTAAGTTAAAATGAAGAGGAGATATTGAAAAGTTTGCAGTAAAATGCAGGAAAATATATTTATCATCTAGTGTCAACTTCACTTGTTATAGGTACATTATGTTGAGAGATACATTATTGCAGATGTCACCAAACTGTCAATCACAAGCTAATAGAAAAGGAGGGAATTGTGGTAGATTGCAGTGACACACCCGGGATACGTCTATCCTTGAGATCAGATCCACTGAGCTCAGATAGACCACTCGTGATAGAAAACCACTGCTTGCATACTCCTGTGCCTCTGACACCGTCAGTCTCATAGTTGATTATGTGAGCTTGAGGTTATACCGGTTTTTTGAGTGAAAGCTCTTATTTCTGTCCTTTTTGTTTGCTTTTTATTGTTTGGTAGCTCACAGAAAAATGAAAATCATTGTGTGTGCTCAGAAGTTTTATGAGTTTGGCAATTACTGTATTATTGCAAACTTTCACCACTATTTTATTCAAATAAAAGAGAGAATTATATTAAATATAATATTATGGAAAATAAAAACACCTGCTCTTTAAATCAGTACTGTTTAACAAAGGTTATTCATTTTTCCTTCAATTAGTATTTCATTTAGAAGCCATAATTTTCCTTGATATTTATTTTTTTGCTTCTGTATTATCTTTGTTTCTTGTACTTTTCTCTTTCCTTTTGTGTGTCAAAAATAATTAAAACATATTCATTTTTTATTAAAGGAGGACTATGGTGTTATTGCTGCATTCCAATTCATCTGAAAACTGGCACAAGCTTAACATAGTATTTTTCTCAGGGTAGTTTTAAGGTTTCTGTAATATTGAAGGTTTTTGTAATTTATATTATTTATAATTTATTGTTATATTTTCTCCTCATGGGAATGGATTCAATTTAAACTATAAAATAATTTTATATAATGTTATTATTTGATAGTTGCTGTATATCTTATTGTTTCATAAAACTTTACTCCCAAAATGTGTATTTAGAATGATTATTATATTTCTTGACAACAGAAATAATTGACCTGGCTGGAGCAGCAGCACCTTTGCAAACAAACCTGATTGGATACAGCTGCTAAATAAGAAAAATAGGCTAAATTGCTCAACAAAAATAGAAAATGCAACACTGTTAACAATAAGAATTGGTAACTACTGGGTATGAATTATCCCATTCATTGGATGTAAACATGACTTGTTATGAAATTGGCCAGCTCAATTATTTTGTCACAATAGCATGGAAAAGAGTGCTTCCATGATTATACCTTATCCCATCCTCAGTTGTCACCCATATGTATGATTCTGGTGATTTAATTAAGTTTACAGTTATTTTAACCAATATTTAAAAATAATTATGAGAATGGTCAGACATTTAAATTTGGTGTTCAAATTATTGAGATTATGATAAGCATATATGAAGATTAATTTTATGTTAATTTGAAGGAGTGTCATGTCTTGAGAGATAGTATTTTTAGATGAATGTTTTTATGTAATCCAGAAGGAAAAATCACAAATAATTTTGATTTTCACATCAATTTGTTATATTTTGGCAATGACTGCGAAATAAATCATTATATTAATTACATTTTGTCGGCAATTAATGATTACTAAATTCGATTATTACTTGATCATTCAAAATAGCATCAAATGCCGCGAGATTTCGCAATCGAGATTTTTCGAGCGAGAGATCGAAAGTTACTATCGAATTCTGACGTGCTGTCGCAAGTCGCATGCGCAGAGGCTGCGCAGTTGTGTATGATAATACTCAGGAAATGTTCGGTCCAAAATAATTGTGATGACTTATGAAGATGGGTCATGTGGGCACTTTATGGTGCATATTTGAATGTCAGAGAACATGCGTATCTAATGTGTTATGGTCCTGCCTCAAATAATGAAATGTGTTGTTCTATTGCGCGCCGTCATACAGACTTATCCGTTGAATTCTCATCTGTTTCATTTTCGTCAATAGAAAACATGGCGGATGGAAGATTGTTCTACTCATAAAAGGCGAATATTGTGATCAGTTGAAATGTTTTCTATGCCATCATCTGCATCAGGGTCTCATAGTTATGATTTTGAAAAGGAAGAAAATGCTGCCAAGTGGAAGGGAGTGTTTGTCAATTCTTTGCAAAAGGTTCTCATTTCATGTTGATTATTACATTTAGATTGCACTTTTATGATAACGATTACTATGTAAATGAAGTAATCTGCTATTCGTGATTCATGAACTTCATAAATCTTAACTATGGCATCTCTGTCATTCTCTGCCAGAGTGATGAAATAATGTTGAAGAGTAATGTGATTGGTTATATTGTACTCTTATTTGTGATAGGAACGTTTTCTGTTATTTCCAAGTTTAATTCTTACTTTTTTATGCAATTTGCAATAACACCAATAATTACATGAAAAATTTCAGAATGTGTTGTCATAAAAATTATTTGACAGGTGTTGGAGCAAGTCCACCCATCACTGAAAGCTCGAGAAGATGCTCTCGACTATGTTGAGAGCCTTATTCTACGGTTGTTGGGTATGTTATGTACCCATCCTTCACCACATTCTGTGCAGGATGTTGAAGAACGAGTCAGACGTACATTCCCTACGCCCATTGACAAGTGGGCACTTGTGGAGGCTAAAGAAGCATTGGAACGAGGCAAAAAGAAGTCGCCTCTTGTGCTTCCTGTTGACAAAATCCACCATTTACTTCAAAAGGTGAAGCATGGTGTCATTGCTTTTCTTGTCAACCCCCCCCATTTATTATTATCATTATTGCTACTGTCGGTTAAATTCAACTATTTGCTATTAAATGTGTCAAGAAGGAAGTGAAAATCATTAGAGTATTATTCGTATGCGGTGTGTTAGATGAATTTTGATTTCATATATTGCAGTACAATGGATACAGTGACATTTAATGACATAATTTAATGAGAGTGCTTGGGACATATTTGCTGATGTATGGAAAGGTTTTCGTCATGAATGTTTATTTGTAGACATTTATTATTGTGAAATAGTGTGAATTCATGATTTGGCCATTCATTAGTTGTAATTGAAAAATACATTTGAGTTTTTTATGCCAAGTAATAAAAGGCTACAGATTTTAAAAAAAGTTGTCAAGATGAAAGATCTGCTGTTTTTTGATGTTAGAAGCCATTTGTTGAAATAAAAAATTGTGGAATAATTGCTAGAATGTGATCGTCATCAGGCATATAGGTGATTTAATATTTGGATTTGCTTAGTTCATGTTTCACTTTGTATTTTCGTAACTAAAAACGAATTAATTTGTTCACCACAACTAAAAATATTACAAAATTATCTCCTTACAATAGTCATTCAAAAGGTAAAATTTTATTCCAAATTCTCAAACAACCTGGTCTGCTCCTGCTTCATTCATAAACTTGTCATTTTTCTCATTTATAAATGTAGGGATTCTATAAATTAAGTTACAAAAACTACAGCTGCAGTGTTCGGCAAATCTTATACTATCCTCGCATTTGACAATTGCAGGAATTTACACTTCCATACTTTACTAAAATGGTTAAACCAAGCTTTTATGGCCATTCTGTGTCTCTTCCATCAAAACAGCTTTGTGCAAACTTAAAAGATAAGGCAAGTTTACTAATCCACACATAGCACTTAGACTTGAGAATTCTGATGATCACAACTACTATTTATTTCACATAAATTGTAGATAATTCTCGTTTGTTACCTTAAATGATATCGTTTGTCAATTTCATATTTTGGGTGTATTGAAACAGCTATGTTAACTTCATTTATAAAATATTTTCTTCTTAAAAAATCCAAGAATGCATTGGAACAAGCAATGCTATGAACAGTTGAGATATAAGTGAAAGTATGATAGTGTGTGGTAAGTGAACTTGCTGCTTACTGAGATGAAAATACAATAATATACAAAACTAAAACACATGCAAATAGAAATGCTTTTTCATTCTTTTAAATTATATTTGCCATTATTGATTTTGTTTTCTTGTTCATTATGAAAATTTCCCTGTTTATTTCCATGAGTTTTAATTCTGAAATGATCTTGAGGTGATGAAGCATTTTGTTATCTTGTGGAACTAAATTCTACTACAATGGGCATGATTAGTTTCATTCATTCTTAATGTCTATTGATTTGTACTGCTTTCATATTTTAACATAGTAAATTTTGAATATTTATTTTCTGTAACATATTCTAGCAAGTTTTGTTACAAAATGAGTAATATGTAATAGTTATAACTTTAGTGTAGTGATTAAAAGTATAAGCTAGTCTGGAAGTCTACATCAAGAGATCCACAATTCAATTCTCTAATAAACGTAGGGTAGAAAATTGAGTAGCTACATGAATGTGGTGTCATCATAAGTAATTACAATAAAACCTATCAAAGCCAGAATCGTTCGGGACCAAGCTTTTCTTACGTCTTGTACAGTTTTCCAGCTTCCAGCAGTAAAAACTGTCAATTCGGGAAACACAATTGTTCAAAGATGGATTAGGTTGTATGAATAGTTATCTCGCCTAAAAACTACCTTTCAAAGAAAGGCAAAGAAAATGACATACAGAAACATGACACAGTCTAATGAAACAAAGACCTTCAGAAAAAGTAAAATAAATGTTATTTTCTACAATATTTGAAGGACATGAATTCATCTGATGATTTAGTCTTCAACTATTTGTCTAAGTTTATGTAAATGTTATGGCAACCACATATAAAAAACTTCCTTCTACCACTCATTGTTAATTTTTTTTTAAGGTGTCATACACTTGAGTTTTCTCAACTTTTATTTGTTAGGCGGGTTCTAACTTATCAGTGTCCTTAGTCCGTTCAGAAATTTTCCCTGGCTCAGCATGTTTTAGCCTTATTTCTAGGTTTTGCCTTTGACAGGTTTTTCTATATATCAATTTTGGGCTGCTGAATGACATTTACTCTTATCAGAGAGGACAACTGACGTAATAGATCATATTTGTGACCCAAGATGACGATAGAGATTTTTTTGTTTGCAATTAAGCGTTTCTTAATATGTCACTGAAGAAGTAAAAAACTAATTTTAACATGGATACCCTGGATTTTATATTCTCAAAAATTGTTAAATTTGAGGTATTTTTTTCTACATCATTGGGAAAAAAATTGAAAGTGGCACAATAATAAAAAATAAAAAAAACTTTACCGGTATTTTTCTGAAGTTCTTAATTTCATAACAACTTAACAACTTTCTGCTTTACTGAAGGCAACATTCTAGTGGAGAGCTTGGTCGTCATTACAAAAAATACACTACATCCAACTTATATTCCAGCATTTTGTTATTGATAAAATAGAAGCAAGATCCCATTCACAAGTAGAAGCAGTTTGCCCCAAATTCAGTGAAGCTTTTCATATGTTACTCCATAAATTAAATAAATTGGAATTTCATGGTACATTGTTAATTTGGATGAAAAGCTGTCTTATCTAACCAGATCACAAAATGACAAAAGTATATGTATAATTGTAGAGATTTTCGGCTGTTCCACAAGGTTTACACCATGGCCCTTTGTTGTTTTTATTATACTTCAATGGCTTAATGGCTGATCTTACATGATTCTGAGACTTGTAAAAGTCTTAACATCATACCTTGGTACAACAAGAGTTTGGAATATGTCATAGAATTTAAAGACTTAGGAGCCATCTTGACTCCACACTAAAATTCTGAAATCTCTTTGAGTACGTAATGTCAAAAGCTATAAAACTTTTGGATATTATGAAGAGTGTATTGGAAATTTCCAAGTTCTAAACCTTCAAAATGTTACATCTTGCATTAACTAGATATTTACTTCCTCATAGCTCTCCAATTTGGCCTTCTTAATCCTCTGACTTCAATAATATTACAAAAAGCGTTTGAGTGCATGGAACAAAAGTTCTTCAATTTTGTGGTGTGGGAACTGAAATTACTTTCACATATATTTACTTATAACTATAATCAAATTGTGCTTTTATTATTAAGTTTTTAAAAATCATAGTAAATCTGCAATAATTTTTCTTGTATAAATCTGTGAGTGACGTCATCTGTTCAGAATTACTAACTAGAAAATTATGGAAAATGCCACTTAGAAACCTTTGCAACAAAGATTAACTCGTGGATCTTATACTTAATGCACGATCTAATGCCTGTTCCAGTGCACTTTATTGAACAAATATTTAATGGAATCAAAATACCACAGTTTTAAAGGTTTTAAACCTTAAACTTTGAAGGAAATCGGAAATCAAAGTTCATCTCTGCCTGTAAGAAAATGAGAAAAGGTGTCGGAAATTTCCTATTAAACAAATTATTTATAGAGATTTAGATTATGTAATGGAATATTAGTGGCATCAACATTTACAATTTTGATGTATATGTAAATACATTGGATCTCATAAGTAGAATATTGTAATTGGGGGGAACTTCATTTTAACTCGTAAAATTTTCTTTTGTAAGATACCTCAAATTTACATTGCCTTAGTTTACTGTTACAAGTGATTAATATTTCTTTATATTTTCTGTGTAGGAAGTTCTACAATATAAAGTGGAGTCGCAGGTGTCATTATATATCGTAGCTGTTCTTGAATACATCTCAGCTGATATCCTTAAGGTGTGTATGATAAGTTTAATGATGATTTAATGATGTTGTATGTAGCAAATGTTTAATGATGTCCTTTTTTAAATAATTTTAAAAGGTTAACTGTTGAAGGTAAACAATTTTGTGTTACATTTTTGACTACAAGGGTCCTTATTATCACTGTTGAGTGAAATTCTGGTTATCCACAAGTTTACTACTGAGAGTCATATTTCAGCTGCTAAGTAATTTTTTCTGGAAGATAAATTATTCTAAAGGATAGGTAACCGGTAGCACATTTTCTGCTGGTTAATTGCAATTAAGTTCTAAAATGGCAGGTCATCAATTGTCTGTCCAAACATATGCTAAGAATGAAATTCTCATGAAATATTTCATCAAAATAAGATGTGAGCTAAATGTAACTCAAATGAAATAATTTTGACAACTTGGAACACAATATTACTCCATGCACATTTTAGAGTTAGCAAAAGAAACCATGCTGTACATATGTAAATTGTAAATACTACTTATGACATTGACAAAAAAGTTATGTAGAACTCCTATACATTTTTCTAAACTTCTTTCTTCATGATCATTGATTTCAGTGAAGTATTGCAATTGAAATAAGGTTATGTAATAACATCATGATTGGAAATTCAAGTGAGTTTATGTGTCATGGAGTCATGAGTTTCAATGAAAATGTAGATTTATTTAGTTTGCAATCTTTTGTGTAGCTTTTTCATTTGTTTTATCATAGAAAATATCACAATGTAAATCCCCCCCCCCAAAAAAAATAATAATAATAATTAATAATATTAATAACAATCAGGTTTTTCTTTCTCATATACATACAGATACTCTACACACTATGTACAGAGTATACATAGCGAAGAAAAAATTATATTGCTGCGGAAATTAGGTTTTGAGATTTCAAAGGAAACATGTTTTGGGTCCCCTGATACTGAAAAAGTGTTTTTTACTTTCTTGCCCTTCGCAAGAAAAGAAAGTATTGTACTCGTGCGCAAGAAAATGATGAATTTTCTACCAAAAAACTCTTATTTTTGGGCCCTGGTAATGAAAAAGTGGATAAATGTTGTTTTTATATACCGTAAATTACTACTTCTGCCAATACATTGTGTATTCAGAATCCATGTTTTGTGGGTCGTTAATACTGTAAAATTGTTTGATGGCAAAACATCGATCTGCCTGCCTATTTGTGGTCAAAGCTAGCACCTAAATAGTTCAGTTGATTTTCTCCAAAACTGATATTCCATGATTTTAATGACCTTGATGCTATTTTGATTTTTAGGGATATTCTATGAACATGAAGTCTCAAAAACTCTCTTCAGAATTTTCTCAAAAATGGCTCCAAATTTTTTGGTTAAAGTTTGTCCAAAGTCTGTGGATTTTTCTTATTGATGAATCATTGAGCCATTTCCTGATCATCGGTTTAACAACATTTTCGCAGCCTCCAGTACAAATAGACATCTTTTGACATTTGTCACCTACGTACCATCCTGGATGAATACGCTTCCTTAAAATAAATGCATTTACTCCAGCCAAGTGAATCATATTCATGAAGAACACAAAGAGCCTCCTATATACCATCCAATGGCATGTATACTCTCTCGCCATAGGATAGGTATCAACTTCTCCCTTAGTTTTATTATAATGTGATATAATTTCTGGAGTTTTCTTATGCGATTCCTCATCTTTTGTACCAGAATAATGTTCAGAAGAAAGCAGTACTACACATCTATTCACTTGTGTGACATGGGAAACTTCAGGTTGGTAGCTGAAAATCGAAGAATGTAATCGGCATTGTTTTGATGAAAGAAATTGAGGTGGTTTTGTTTTTTCTTTCCCCAAGGTGTTACTTTTCTACCTATAAGTTCTTCTGCCAAATTCAACAATGTGAAAAAACTATCAGTCGTAATTCTGAATACAGGCTGCAAGATATTTATTAGATCAAGAACTACTTCTTTTTCCTTGATATTTATTTTCTGGCTCGCTCTCTTTTTTCATTATGTAGATTTGGAAGTTCTTGCAGTAAGCTGTGTTTGCTGTTGGCTAGAACCCAGATCTTGATACCTTATTTTCCAGGCCTTTTTTTTAAATTTTATTTTTTCTCTCGTATATTCATGAAAAGGTGTGTGTCCCCTGAAAGGGACCAATCTTTCATCTACAAAAGGGTTGAAATACTATTGACAGGAGGAGGTAAGTATGTCAGTTATCTATCGAATTGGTGCTAACTTATCCATTAGTATTCTTTCATTGCGACTAAACATGTCATCAAATCTGAGATAACAGTATATTGTCTAAAATTGAGTTCTTTACATCGTTGCTGCATAAATTGGCATCTAAACAAAAAGGGCTGAAGACCATAGCATTGAAACTAGTTCATGATTGCTTTGCGTGACTCCACTGCAGATGAGGAATCCAATAAAAGCATATGTCTTGGTTTGATCTACATCAACTCACTATCTTTTCTCTCCTTCAGCCTTCTTTTCAGTTTCCCAAGTACCTCTCTGGTTAGTGTTTTACAATAATTTACTCAATAGCAGATGAAGTAAATAACTTCAAAATTGACAAAATATTACCTTGTCTATTAACATCTCGTGAGACACTGGGAGGAATGCGAATAATTTGGGAAGATGTTTGTTTTCTGCGTACATATGGAGCTTTCATCTTTTGATACAAACATTTCTCCTAAATCTTTCGCAATATTTCTTAAAGTTCACTCTCTTAAATTTCATCTTCTTTTTCTTCCTCTTCGCCAGCTATTTCCAAACCTCATTAGCTCCGGAAGGCTCTTCAGTTTGTTGTTGTAGCTCATCCTCGCGGTCGTCAGAGGCATATCTAGCCATCTCAACCATTTGTTTTACTCTTGAAGAAACAATAAAATCCATTTCGAACTGAGTTGATTGTAACCGATGCAATACTGAACGACAAGAATAGGCTTTGAATTTGGCTCGTAATTACTAGGAACCTCATGTTTACAACAATAAAACTAAGGAAAAATAACTTCTGATAACCACATATGTGTTTATACTCATTAGAACGCAATATTATGAAAAGAAACCAAGCTGAAAAAGTTTACTCCAAAAAAGTTACAGAAAATACATTATCGGTCTTGAAGAGACTTTCTTTATGCACTTCCATGTAGAGCATGTAAACGTAAAACACATATCTTGGAAGTGTAGGTATTTATCTAGTACTTAC